GTTGGATGCTAAAATCATTACTGAAAATCTCACTAATGTAGAATTTATTATAACTCTATACAGTCAAAATGTACAGTGAGGCAGTGATAGTCCTGAAAATACAAAAAAAATGAAATAATTCCACGCATTCTAACAGACCACAATGCAATAAAGCTTAAAATCAACAATACCAGAAGTCCTAATCACCACATGAACACATGGAGATTAAACAACACACTCCAGAATGAAGACAAAGAAAACAGAAGGAAGAATATAATAATGAAACTGAAAACAGAAAAAAGATGGAAAAAAAACAGAATAATCTCTAGAAAGCCGGACCAAAAATTAAAAAAGGAAAAAAAGAAAAAGAACATTAGTATAGACCTTGTAGCCATTTAAATGACAATAAGGAAAACTAATAGTGACAAATATATACACTCATAGATTTGACTATTTGGAAATAAGCAGATCCCTTCAAAACCATAAACAACCAAAACTCAAAGAAACTCAGTTCATAATTTAAATGCTCCCAAAAGAGAAATCTCTTAGCCCAGCTGATTTCATTGGAGAATTCTACCAAGTATTCAAGGAATTAATATCAATCTTATATAATCTATTCTAGAAAACAGAAAAGGAACATTTGCAAACTCATTCTGAGGTGAGTATTACCTTGATACCCAAACTAAAGAAAGACACTGCAAAATAAGAAAATTATATATCAACATCTATCAGGGCTGGAGAGATGGCTCTGTGAGTAAAGTGCTTGCCACAAAGCATGAGAAACTGAGTTCAGATCCTGAGAAACTGAGTTCAGATCCCCAGCACCCATGTAAATGCCAGGCAGGTGTAGCAGCCTACCTATAAACCCAGTGCTCCAAGGGTAAGAGGTAGAAATGGGGGATTCCTGGGGCAAGCTAGCTAGCTAGACTTACTAATTTGGCAAGCTCTGAATTCAAATGAGAGACTGTTAACATATAAGGTGAAGAGTGATCAAGGAAGACACCTGGTATTAACCTCTGGCCTCCATATGCACTTGCATACACATGCATGCAAACCTGAATACACATGTACCCCACATACACACACACACACACACACACACACACACACACACACACATACACACATTCATGAACATATATAAAAACTGAAACCACTGATATATAAAAAAGAATGTTATGCCAGAGCTGGAGAGATAGATCACCATTTAAGAGCAATGGCTACTCTTCTAGGGGACCAGAGTTCAGTTCCCAGCACAAACATGGGGGTCAATACCCATCCTTAACTACAGTTCTAGGGGATCCAACTCTGTCTTCTGGCCTCCATGGGCACTGCACACACATGGTGCACTTACACACATGGCAGGCAAAACAATCATTTGCATAAAATAAAAATAAAATATTTTTTGAAAGAATTATATGCTATGACCAAATGAGGTTTATTTCAGATATATGACTGATTCAACAGAAAATCAATCCATGTGATCCAGCATACTAGTAGACTAACCAAGAAAAAAAGTACTTGATCACATAGGTTGAGTAGAGAATCCAACACATATTCATGATGAAAATTCCAGAAAAGTAGGAACAGAACTTCCTCAATTTGAAGAACGTTTATACAAAACCTGTAACTGACATCACACTTAATGCTGAAATGCTGAATGCCTTCTCAAGATCAGGAACAAGGCAAAGCTGTCTGTTCCATCCACTCTTATTTATTCAACAAAGTATTAGACATTCTAGCTACTAAAATAAAGCAGAAAAGGAGGAAAGGAAAAAGGAGTATTGATTGGAAAAGTGGGGGGCAGATAACATTTGAAAAATTATTTTCAAATTTACAGGTAACAATTGAAAAGTTATTTTGCATACATAAGAAATCCCAAGGAATCTATGTAGATACCCTCCGAAATGACAAAGTTCAGCAGGCTAGAAGGGTACAAGTTTAGTAACACTTTACACACCAACAATAAACATGTGAAACTGAAATTAAAACCACAACACTATTTGCCATCACTCCAAGAAAATGAAATACTTCAGTATATATCTTAAAAACCACTCAGGAATTTCTTGCTGGAAACAGTAAAATAATGAAGCTAAAAAAGATCTAAATAAATGAAAAGACATACTATGTCCATGGCCCAAAAGACTTGGAGTGCTGGTGATTAAGGAATAACAACCATATTGTGTAGACATTTTCCAGTTACCTGACTCCTGTTTGATCTGGATGGTAGGTTTGATACCAGGTGGCAACGGTGACTGCTGAGGCTGTTGCTGATGAGAGACTGAAGAAGGCTGGGCCACTGTTTGCTGTGTCTGCTGTTGCACTTGATGTAATTGCTGCTTAGGAGACTGTTGATGCTGTTTAGGAAATTGTGCAAGAATCTGGGTAGGGGCACTCACTAAGCTTTTGGGGGAAGGAAGCCTTGTTGATGCCACTTTGATTGCTGATGTAGACACACCTATAGAAGAGTAAAGAGAATTTAAGAAAGGGTGGGAAGGAGGATGGGTAGATAGGTCAAAATGAGGAGGCTCTGAACCATTTTATCAGCCAATTTACATATCTTCGAAATAACAGACCAATGAAAAGTCAATTGTAAAAAATAAAAAACATCTATTAAATAAGCTAATGCAGCACACGCTCATTTTTTCATGTGCAAAGATTATTCTATAATTTCAAGATAAATAATTATTCAAAATGATTGCTGTACAGTCTAATCTCAAAGAACAACTTTGTCACCTGCTGCATGTAAAGAACAGTATAAAACGTGAAAAGCGGGCCAAAAAAGACTTTTTGTCATCACCATATCCTATTCTAGCATTCTCAGAAGAATCTCATTCATGGTATGGACACATGGTACATGCAGGTACATGAGAATGCTTATTTCTTGCCCCCTAATCTTAAGAGCAACACTTCCTAGTTTTTTTTCAATCTAAATAAATATTTTCAACTTTGCCTGCAGGTCTCGCCACATTAACAATAATGTCCAGACCCCTCTGGGCCTGGGAAAGCCACCTCTAATCTCCTCAATGATCTTTTGCTTTTGCGCAGGAACTGAGCCCAATCCTCTGCTGGAGGGGAAGGGAGCTTGGCACTAAGGTTGGGGGTCACTTTGTGAAGGTTCTTTACTAGCATTTCTGACTATGAGCCTGCTGCATCTTCAGGTAAGTTTTCTTCGTAGAATGACCTGGGGTGCAGTGCCAGGGGGTGGTTGGGTTATTTCTGATGGCTCCTTGGCAATGGCAGAAGTCTCAAAACAGCTCCAAATAAAACTGCTCAGTCCTGGAGAGACCAAAGCCCCAAACTCCAAGCAGAGGCAAAACAAGTCAACCCTGTACACACTCTAGATTACAACACGGTTTCATTAACATGCTTCTACTTTTCTATAACCATCTTAATTTTCATTACTGTTTAACTCTAATTACTATTGTTGGCTGCTTCTTCCTTTCTAACAAAGCCTCATTTTCTCTACTAGAATCCACATCCTGAGCACTGGCATACACTTTGGTAGAGGCTGCCTACAGAGCAGTTCATAATTGATCTAAGCTAGTCATATGACCCATTACTTTTTCCATGAACAAGAAGGTAAAGCTAGTAGTAGTTAACATGACTTGAGAGAATTTTCTCCTAGGAACATCTAGTGAAGATTTTCTCTAAGACAGCTACACAGAAAGGGACTACCACCTCTTCCTTTGGGTATTTTCATAGCTGGCTATGATACCTGCAATGCAGTAGCTTACCAACATGAGACTTACCTGAGAAAAAAGCTAATATACTAAGGAAAGTAGAAAAGTAAGAATGAATTCCTTGCTGATTCAATAAGCTACCTAACTGAAGACTTCTGTCTTCTGGATTTCTGGTTTTGTGAAATAATAAACTTTCTTATTAAAAATCAGTCACTCAACCAATGCATATTTATGAAGTTGTTCATTCAATCACCTCATATTTAGCAAATAAATTTAGATATCAATCCAGACAGATTCTAAACAATTGATTTATTGTGCATTTGGATATCCAAAAGAATGTATGGGGCCAGGCATGGTTGTACACTTTGAATCCCACCACTCGGGAGGCGAGGCAGGATCTCTGTGAGTTCAAGGCCAGCTTAGTCAGGATAGTGAGTTCCAGGCCAGCTGGGGCTACAGCAAGACCCTGTCTCAAAAAGACCAAAAGAAGAAAAAAAAGAATACATGGAATAACACTAAAGTAAACATCAGTTCATCTTTGGAAGACACCCAGATCAAACTACGGTAGTACTTTTAATAAACATTGTGCGCTGGTTTAAATATGGTTTGAGTATATGCAAGAATCCATTTGTTGAAATTTAATCCCCAATATAAGGTCTTGAAAGATTAGGAATTAATTTGATTTAATGACTATGGTATAGAGGTGGATCATTTAAGAGATAATTAAAACTAAATAGATTCATAGGTTGGAACCCCTAATTGACTACTGGCTTTTTAAAGAAAAGGGAGTGAACTTAGAGAAGACATGTGTATGCTCCTTATCTCTTGTCATGTGCTCTCCCTGAACTGTCTTGGGACTCAGACAAGAAAGCCAAATACCAGACGTAGGTCCTTGATGTTAGATTTTCAGAACCGTAAGTCAAAATAAATTATCTTTCTTTGTAAAGTTATCCAACCTAAAATATTCATTATACTAAGGGAATAACAGACTAATTACAATATGAAATAGTTAAAAGTTACAACATGAGCCCTAGAGAAAGAACAAAGACCCAAAAACCTTTTTTTTAAAAAGTGCAAACTGGGCTAGTGAGATGGCTCAGTGAGTAAAGCACTTGCCCCATAAGCCTGGCCACAGGAGTTCAATCACTGCAAAACATCTACTCCACACCCAGAGAGTGGGACAGGTACATCTAGGCATGTAAAGAATTATCCCACTGTGTTTTATTTTTATTTTATACTGTTGTATACACAAGAATAACAAAGACTTAATATTGGCCAGATTCCAGTGAAATAAGCTAAGATGTAATATGCAGAAGATAAAGATGGCACATAGGAAACTCTACCAAAAGTTCCACCTCTTTTATTTTGTAATCTTAGTCCTGAGTGCTGGTTCTAACAAATAAAAGGCCCAGTTAAATCCACAAAGACATTCACTATGGCTTACTCTAGAATATTAAAAACTGGAAATAATCCTTAAAAACACAGTAAATGAATAATAAATTACTCAATGGCAAAAGGATTAAACAACAGTGAAAATAATTAAGATAGTTGTAGAAAGGTAGAAGTGTGCTAACAAAGTGATGTTTATAAGAAATATACATGCTACAAAATAGAGTATGAACTTTTTATTTACTCCAGAAATATAAAGTGTACCGCTGACATGAGTAAAAGGCAGTGATTTGTAAACGTGCTACTTACTGTGATAGAGTTTTGGGACTTCTGGTAGACTTTTTAAACTCTCTATTCTCTAAACAGTTTAATCCCTGATTTCGGGTTTTAAAAATGTTTAAAAGTCACTTCTAGATGCTAAACAAGGACCATATTCAAACTGATAGGGTGGAACATTTCACCAGGACAGAATTTCATGAAATAAGAGAGCAGAAATTCCCTCAGGGCTAGTCTAACTAAAATGAAGGAGCAATGCTAGTGGACGCATTATAAACTGGCAGCAACACGCTACTACTCAAGCTGGAGGAGGCTCAGGGAAGTCAGCAGAAGCTTGTCATGCTATTGGGAAATAATTCATCAAGTTTGCAAGAAAATACAAGATGAAAACAAAAAGAACAAGATGAAAGAAAAATTGTTCTATCAAATAAGAGATGGTGGTGGCAGAATAAGAAGTGGAGTCAACTTAAGTAATAAGCCATAACCTATTCTTTGGCTAACAAAGAACAAGAAGATAGACTTGAGAAAGAATCAAAATTAATTTCAGGTCCTAATCTTATAAACATGCAATCCTGAAGAAAAAATATAGTCAAATATGAAGTGATCATCCAAAATAAAACTATTTTCATATATATATATAACATACTTTAAGTCACACCTTTTGCTATAATACTAGCATTAGACTTATAAACACCAATTTTCCAAACATTAAAGGGCACAACAATATGTATATATGCTGCTAACCTTTACCTATGAAAAACGCTAAATATATATTTATTTGCTTACATGTTACAAATGGAAGGATTAAAAAGCATTAATTAAAAGGGTTTAGGAAAAAAAGATTACTTATCAAGGAAGGGCAGTCAAGAAATAGGAATTACAAATAAAAAGAAACTAAACAACACTGGACATTCTTAAACTAAGGGAAGAGGAGTTACTTGATCTAAAGCAGAAATCCCCATCCCTAACACAGAAAAATGTAAGCAGTTTGCTTCAAAATTCCTACAGACTAACAAGGGTAGAATAGAAGGGATGGACAAGTACTCACCTTGTGCTACTGTTGACATCACCACAGACGGTGTGGAGGACACCACGGCTGTTACTGCAACTGTATTAGGAACAGGTGATGGCGCAGAACTACTGTTGCCACTGCTGCTATTGCTGATCAGCGAGGACTGTGATGCAGTAATAACGACGGGTGGCTTCTGAGTTGTGGAAGCAATAACTGATGTTGGCACAAGCTTAGTGACTGCTGCATAGTTATGAGATTTGGAGAGAATGTTGGGCACGAAGGTTGAACTTGGTGATGTAGTCACTATAATAACCTAAAGGGGGAAAAATAAGTTATTTTCATGTACCTATTATAACTCTCCTTGTATTTAAACTCATAAACAATTCAAAACTATGTTTTTATAACATGAAGAAAAATTCAACAGAGAGGAACATACAATTAAAAAATCTGAAAGCCTTCCTTTACTAGCAGTCATCAAAATGACTTAAAAGCAACAATTTTCACCAAGTATTCAGTGCTGTGCAAGATGTAGCATTGTAAATATTTCAATATACTTTTTAGGGGGTATAAATTGACAATGTTATAAGAAAGCAATTTGGAAATTCACTCAGTTCTTTTTTTATTCTTTGTGTGTGTGTGTGTGTGTGTGTGTGTGTGTGTGTGTATGAGTGTATTGCCTGCATGTGTGCAAGTGCACCTGTGTCAAGCAATGCCCATGGAGGTCAGAGGAAAGCGTCGAATTCCCCTGGAACTGGAGTTACAGACGGCTGTGAGCCGCCATGTGGATGCTGGGAATTGAACCCTGGTCCTCTGCAAGAGCAGTCAGTGCTATTAACCTCTGAGTCATCTCTCCAGCCCCTCACTTAACATTTATTTTTCCTTTTTGTTTTTGGTCTTTTTGAGAAAGGGTCTCCCTGCAGCCCCAGCTGTCCTGGAACTATGTAGACCAGGCTGGCCTTGAACTCACAGAGATCCGCCTACCTCTGCCCCCTAAGTGCTGGGATTAAAGGCATGTGCCGCCACGCCCGGCTCACTTAATATTTATTGAGCATCTACTATGTGCCAGGCATGGTTCTAGATGCTGGGGATAGAGGAGTGGACAAAACAAATTGATACTTGTATGAAGTTTACATTCTAGAGCAGGGAGAGAAATAATGAACCAAAATAAATTAATATATATATACACATATATATATATACATATATCATGAATAGACAAATGGAAAAAATAAAGCAGGGTAAAGGAATAAGGGTAGTGAGGGCTATAAGCTTCTTAAAGTATTCCATGAAAACCTCTCTGTAAGTTGCCATTTGAGCAAAAATAAGAATGAGGTAGGGGAAAAAAAAACAAAACAAACAAAAAAGAATGAGGTAGGTATGAGTTGTGTTGTTTTAATACCCAGAAGGGCACTCAGCGGCACAGGGAATAACAAATACAAAGGTCCCTGAAGAAGAAAGCTTGGTATACTCAAGTAACTTTAAAGACCTAATGAACAGGACTGAAGTTTACAAGGTAGAGAACCACAGAGAAGGAATGGAGGAGCAGACAGTGTGAACTCATGATAGCTTATACCTTTTAATATGATGTGATGAAAATGGCACTTTTTCTCTGTGATCTTCCTCCCAAAACTCATAATTCTATTCAAATCATGAGTAAAATATCAAACAAATCCTAAGAGTGGACACCTTACTAAAACACCTGACCTGTCAAAGTCATCAAAAAACAGGAAAGTCTGAGAAACTTTCGCAGCAAGAGGGGCTTAAGGAGACATGACAAGTAAATATACTGTTCATCCTGAGTGGGATCCTGGAAGAGAAAAGGACATTAAGTAAAACCCAAGGAAGCTGAATAAACTGTGGACTTTAGTTAATTTTAATGCATTAAAAATATTAACAGGAGAAAGATATGTAAAGTATGTGACTTTGTAACTTTTCTGTAAATTTAAAACTTCTGAAAATTAAGCCCTATTAAAAAAGGTATCACTCTGATAGGTAGAAGTTCCAGGAGGGCAGTCACAGTAGACACAGAGACAAATTAAGACGCTCTTCCAATAAACCAAGCAGAGAACATGGTGATGAAAGTGTTGGTGGAAGTTGTAAAAAGTGAACAGGCTGTGATAATCACTTAAAGGTAAATTAAAAGGATTTGCTCCTGGTCTGTGTAGAGAATGGAAGAGAGCGAGAGAGAGAGAGAAAAAAAATGTATAGAAAAGGAGAGAGAGAGAGAGAGAGAGAGAAAGAGAGAGAGAGAGAGAGAGAGAGAGAACGAATTGTAGAAGATTTAGCACCAGTGCATTTCATAGAGCACTGTATTGAATAAAAGACCTACAGAATCACCTTGATGTGTTTAAAGGTAGAAAGAGTGTAGAAAAAGCATATAAGGCAAAGAGAGGTAAAAGCAGAAGCCAGATCAAATTTCAAAGCCAGACTAAAGAATCTGGATTTTATACTAAGAACAATGGCACAAAAACAACAAAATGTGATTTCTATTTAAAAGAGCACTCTAGTTACCATGAAATGAGAGGTAAGAGTTGAAGCAGCAAAACCATTATCATAGAGAAGAAACCACAGCGGTTTCTTTGACTGGGGTGTTAGTAGCAGAAATAAACAGAAGTGATCAGATTCATATTACAGAGTAGAGAAAATAAACTTGTAGATGAATGGAAATGGTAGGGTTAGGAAAAGCACAAACTAGAGAATAGCTCTAGAGCTGATGCATACATGGGCTTATTTAATCTTCCCCAATTCCTACAACATGAATATTATTATTATCCCCATTTTGGAGTAGAGAGCACAAACATTGTACTGCTTTATGTGACACAGTGTTACTGTGGGGTGACTAAAATAGCACTAGAGCAGTACTCGATTCTTTCACTAAAATTATTTGGACTTTCTTAGAACAGAAAAATTGTTTTGAAAAAAATCCAAATTTTTTTTTTTTTTTTCGTTGTTTTGAGATAGGGTCTTGCTATAGTAGCCCTGATTGACCTGGAACTCACAGAAATCCGCCTGCCTCTGCCTCCTGAGCACTGGAATTAAAGGTGTGTGCCACCAAGCCCAGCAAAATCCAAAGAACTTAAAAGAGAAATTATTTTTCATTTTTACATTGGTCCTGAAGTTAGTCAAATTTACTGAATAAGTTCATACTCAGTACCTACATCTCAAGGAAGCTTTAGCTACAACACTATTACGTATTTTCAGTGTTATAAAAAATTTAAGACATTAGAATTTGTCCATTAGTTTAAGGAGTCTGTTATTTAAGAACTCAAGAAAGACACAAGTTTTTACCAGCAGACAACTATACAGGACTGGCCAGTATAATTATATGCAGCCTCAATTAGCAAACATGGTACAATATTATTAGAAAACAACCATGAAACCATCATGCAAACTGAGAAGTACGTCACTATGGTAACGGTGACAAGCTTAAGAGTCAAATGAACCTGAAGTTAGATTATCTTGCTTCTGCCACTTATAAATGGCAGTCCCCTGGGCTATGAGCTACTTTCCATAAAATAGGGATAATAATGCCCACCTTACAAAATCATTACAAGGATTAGATGAAATAATCATGTGAAGCATCTACTAGGCACATAGCAGGTGGTCAATATTTAACAGTTAACAAGTGGTATTTACTAGTAGCTTATAATTCCTATTTAATAAATGTTAGATGGATATGAGTAAAAGCATTATAAATCAATTCCATCTGGAAAGTTATTTTAATATACTGTTTTGTTTCATTAAAAACATCTCTTTATTTTTTCCCCAATTCTAATATCCTTGAGAATACAAAGAAAGCAAAGCTACTCCATACCCAGACTAGAGCAATTGCATTTCACTTTTGTCATTGCTGAACCAATAGTTAATAGCTTCCAGGAGGCATAATGCTGATAATGACTGCAGTATGAAAGAAGATTCATCAAAGTTTGGCAGGAAAGTATATCACCATTAGTAATGTTGGGCACAAGCAAGGGAAAAGGAAGTGTTCATAGTTCAAATATTTGAAATTTCAGAATGAGAGTATGGAAGTAAGTTTCTAACATTAAGACAACAAAACTTCAAGAAAATAAATCTAAAGTCTTTAGGAGCACGCTTTAGGTTATAGATACAAAAGATAAAACATATTTTGAAATTTCATTATACAAATGATTTCTGATCTACGAAGGGGCTTCCCAAAATTAGAGATCCACCTTGGAGAAATTTACTTACACTTTAAAGTTGCTTATTACAACAGGGGGTATAAAAGGGTTTTGAAACCAAGTGAACCAGACAGTGTTTATTCAGGCCATAATTCGAATTACTGACCTTCTAGCACTCACAAAAACTCCTTAAGAGTGCTGGGACTTGCACCCTAAGGACAAAATGAAAAATATCAATCAAGCACATGAAAGCATAAAGCTATATTCTGTTGCCCTGTTTATATCAGTGCTGTACCAATGTTGTTTTAAATGAAGGCACATTAACACACGTGGAAATTTCTCTATCCTGAAAATGCACAGCCTATTTAAATGTGAATAAAGTTTACAAAGTCAGAAATAATTATACTTAATGTAAAAATCATTTTACCTACAATCGTTGCTACATCAACTTACAAATGACCGTGAAAAATCCAAGGTGAATGTAATAGTGACAGTGGCCTGGGATAAGTCTCAAAAAAAAAAAAAAAAAAAAAAAAAAAAAAAAAAAAAAAAAACAATTACCGAAAAAGGAAAACAAAACAAAATAAACAAAACATGAAGAGTACTAGTCCTAACCATAATCCATTTGTATAAAAAAATGAAAAACTGATGGCATTGAGAACAAAGAAAGTAGAGTACAGTTTTACACCTGGAACACAGTAGATGCTCAGTAATTATTTGCAGAATAAATGAGTCTTATTTTTAATTTAATTTGCCTTAAATGTTTATTTTTTTAAACATTAACTTCTGATCTGAAAACTGATGGTGTGGTCCGTAAGTGACTATGGAAATAAATGTGCCCTCTAAAGAGCAAGTCTGACAACCTCAACTATCCATCCCCACCTCAAAATAGAGACGATAAAAACAAAAGCCAATGGAGGTAAAGGTGCGGGGGTGAGAGTTCACAGACTTAATATGGGAACCCCATCTGTTACCAATATTTTATCTAAGTCTATCAAAGAAGATACTAAAGTTAACAATGTTAGGTAACATTACTAAATATTCATTATATGTACCATAATTACACTAAATGAATAACCTCTACTAATTCTCCTAGTAACTCTCAGAAGTACTATTATCAAAAGGGTACAGGTTCAAGACAGGTAGCAGGGGGCCACTGAAGTAATATAACTCTGTGGGAAAGCACTTGCCTAATATGTAAGGCCCAGTTAGTATTAGAACCAGATCTACTTACGCATATGTTGATTCATTCATTTATTAATTTTCATTCATTCAACAAATATTAAATAGCATCTAGTAGATGACAAGCACTGATCTAAACAACAGGGATACAGTGATGACTATAACAGAGTTCAAGGCTACCCTCATCAGTCTATGGGAGAAATAGAAAATAAATTTGAAATTTATAATGTCAACTACTTCAAGGCATAATGAAGAAAAAACACAGAATGGAAACAAAGACCATGGAGGAAGGGGAAGCTACAGCTTTACTACCCTACTTCTTCAACACTAAAAAATTTTCAAGTAGATGAGGAAGAAGTAGCCATGAGATCCAGCAATGATGGCAGTAAAAACATTATAGTAAGGCTGAGCAATCTGAAGTACAGTAGGGTGGTGTCATGTCATCTAGAGCCAGCTCAGAGAGCAGTAACTATGGGCTAAGGATGATACAGCTCAATCGTTCAGCACTCATTCAGCATGTACAAGGCCCTGGGTTCAATCACCAGCAACACACACACACACACACACACACACAAAAAAAAAAACTTCTAAGAAAAAAAAAGCAATAACACTACATGGAAAGTGACGTTCAAAAATGCTACTTGGAGTCAAGTAAAAATGCAAAAATTAGGTAGGTCAAAAAACATTCTTTAAGAAGTCATCAAGAACAGCTAATTTCAACATATTAACAGATAGGTTTTAGTGAACTGATGAAGTTACATATTTGGAACAGTACATTATCATCAGCAAATAAATAAAATGCAGGCTTCCATAAAAACCCTGCAAAGAAAGTAGCACTTTCTAGGTATGTGCTTTTATGTCACATTTTAAAGAATCTCATTTAATTCTTGCAATAACCTACTAAGATTGATGTTACTCTTATCCCTTAGGTAAAGAAAAAGATTTAGAAACACTAATTTATCTCGGGTCATACAGCAAGAGCTGGATTTCCAACCTAGCACTTGAATTCCAAAAATTCTTTCTTGGAGCTGGGGTATGACTAGGTGGTAAAGTCCTTAACTAGAATACTTGAGTCCCTGGCGTCCATCCCCAGTACCTCAAAAACAAATGTCTTGCTTGATTTTAGTATTATTCCATAATCTATACCATAATTCCTTCTAATGAGACTAAAAGCAGAATTGGCTCCTTATCACTAGCTATTAATAATTTTATATACTATAAACTATCTCCAGAAAAGCTGAAGGAGATTCTTTAAATGAAAGTTATCATGAGATTGATGATTCAAAGGTGGAAGGATTTCCTTTTTTTGTCTTTTTGAAGCAGGGTCTCCCTGTAGCCCCAGCTGTCCTGGAAACTCACTATGTAAACCAGGCTGGCCTTGAACTCACAGAGATCCACCTGCCTCTGCCTCCCAAGTGCTGG